TCTAACTATAATATTCAGTATTCAGAAGTCTGTTACTTAGATTATTCACTGCTGATCAGTTTGCCACAGCAGTGCTTGGGTTCATGTTTCCACACAGTGATCATCCATATTTTAAGCTATAATGTGTAAAATTGAGACTATTCTCCACCTGTCAATTCATACTACATACAAAATAGGGCATGCATATCACATATCAGGTCACTGCTGCTAACTTAGCAGTCCTTGTAGCTGATGGAGTCTGGGCGAGCAAGCTCACTTGCACATCTCCAAGCTGAAACACAGGAGGATACCTGAGTTCTACTTTCTGACTATCGCCTCTTGAGGCACGAGTGGTAGGTAGGGGATCCAGTGAGGTTCCTTGGGAACACATCTACTAGAGTTCATTAGCACCTACAACCCTTCAAAGATTTGGACATATTTAATATAGTGGATTCTTTGTTTTGAACATCTAGAAACATATATCAAAGAGACCCCCACCATGCACACATGCACACCTACCTGCTAGATGCTAGTTCCAAAAAAATCATCCCAAAAACATTATATTTTTGTAGAAGGAATGCTCTTTTTCCTCAGGAGTAACTGGTCTCAATAGCTAATTTGTGTTTGGGTGGAAATATTTGAAATGTATTATTTCAAGACTATGTTAAAGAGGGCTGGTTTTCAGGTCTGTAGGACAATTGGTAGGCTGTAACAGAAATCCCTCTTAGCCATGTCTACAGGATGGAAAGAAGTTTAGGATAAGACAACTCTCTTCAAACAGGCAGACGGGCATGAGCGTGGAGCTTGAGCACTTTTTAATAATAACAAACCCGATTTGGCACGCCTGTGTTCTCAGTCCTCATGATAAAGAATTAAAGGCAGGCAGTGTTTGTCCCCCACATAAAAAGCCCTTCAGACTGCTTTGTCATTGGCATTTAGCCTGAATATCTTGCACCAAGCCTTTTATTAAAAGGGGCAGTAAAGATTTTCTGACCCATAGCACAGTAATTACCTTTCAATATAACGCATAAAAATGTTTATGAAATATATTTATATATTTACATAAATATAAATATATATACATGTCAAATCTAACAAGCCTTTTGAGTGGTGTGGAAGTTTCTCTCTAACCCTTCCAACTCCCCACACCCCCAGTTCCCCTCATGCATAAATCTGCCTTGCTAATCCAGACTAATGAGGACCACAAGGACTTGAGTAAACATGCGAGAAAGGTCATTTGGCCTTCATGCCTGGCTGACTACAGTGTGGAAGGATTTTGTGGCCATTGTAGTGGTTACTGTGTGTGAAGTGGTTTAGTGCTTTTACTTTTGTTAACCCCCCTCTCTCAAGATGGAGAGTATGTTTTGCATTAAAACTAAGTTTTATATTGCATTTTATAGTGATACTAAATATTTTACTCACTGTGTGTCATGAGATGGTATTAACTCAATGGTATAGCAGCACACTGTTTCTGTAGTAACTGCAGCTTGTGCTATTTGGGTTATGTTTTAAAGTTTCCATCAGGCGTGTTGTCCCATTTGTAAAATTTCCACCCTAGATGACAGCATAGAAATTGACTGCATTATATAGTTTTCCACTTGACTGAAACTTATACTGTAAGTGGCAAATTTTATTTTATCTGTTCAGCACCATTACCATCATCATTGCTCTGAGTCATTGGAAAAAAATGTCCAAAACATTTTCGCAAGCTAAGAAAAAAACTGCCCTGTATTCTGCTTTGACTAAGTGTCTCTTTAGATACTCCAATGAGCTTCAAGGATAGGTTCACATTTTGTCAAGTTTGCTATTACACGTATATTTAATAGTTATTATTAGTCATTGTTATCGTTCTTCCTGCCCATACTGGATGTGAAGAAACCCCATAAATCAATGTATGTTACTCTGTTTCAGTACAATATTCACATATTACATATCTCTTTACATATGGTGTATTTGAGCATGTCAATATTGTTTAACACTAAAGTAATATTTCCCAGTGAATAAATGAGCAGTGTTGCCTTAGAGAGATGGAAAGAAATTTAGTGAAAATGACATGAAGCAAAAAATACTTCTAGTGGTGACTATTTGGAGTTACATTTACATTGCTTCAGAATGGATTTATATTTTCCTGTGTATGTCGTGTCCAGGTTGCCCAGACGTTCTACATTACCATCAAGCCAGTGGACGACTCCCTGCCTCTGCTCCAGGTTCCTGGTATGAGGGTCCAGGAAGGAGTGAGGAAGACCATCACCGAATTTGAGCTGAAAGCCACAGATGCAGACACTGAAGTAGGACACTGGCTTCACAAATCCCTGAAATGCTTCGGCAACCTTCATTATTTATTTCTCTTTTTAATCAGTTTAGAAAGGAGCAGGACCTCTAAATAATAGTTGGATATCAGCAGCTAAGCTGGCAAAACTAAGCTTTGTAAGCTGGCCTCTGTTGTTTAGAAAGACGGCTGTTCTCTACAGCTTTATTTTCTCTGGCAACAACATTTCAAAGACTATTTCCTGTTGCTTAAAGGAAAAAACCCTGTTAATCCCATCAATCTGCCATCTTTGGTGCACTCCAGGAGTTATTTTGTGATTATTGCAATTTCCTGTCTTCCTGCATCTACTTTCTCTGAACAACCTTGCCTACATCTACTGCAATTACAGATTTTCTCTTTATTTCACAAGATGTCTTTTAAAAGCCACTAAATGTTATGTGGTATACGTATATGTACTAACTTCTAATTATATGTGCTAACAAAGCAAAATAAGAATTGCCTGTTCTTCTAGAAAAGATTTCCCACAGTATGATTGTTGAAGTTGCAAAATAATAATGATGAAAAATTTTAAAAATAAACCCTCACTGTTTCACTGATTCTTACTAACAAACTGACACCACACATAACATACTCAACACTCATTCAAACTGTCTCCTCTCCTCCATTCCTCTCCCTCCATTTTGTTCTGCTAAAACACAACGTTGTCCAGGCGGAGTCCATTGTCTTCACTGTCGTCCAGGCTCCACGTCACGGCACCATAGAGCGCACGGGCAATGGCCAACATTACCGGCAGACCAGCAGTTTCACCATGGATGACATCTACCAGAACCGCATCAGCTACAACCACGACGGCTCCAACTCGCTCAAAGACCGCTTCACCTTCACTGTGGCTGATGGCACCAACCTGCTGTTCATGGTGGAAGAGGGCAGCAAGGAGGTAAAAACGTGCACCTGTGTGGGCTTGTTTTACCATATTTGTGGGGTCCAAAACAGGGAGCCCATTACACTTGTAGGGTCCGACAGCTTTGTTGGAACCAAAATGCTAGACCCACAGGGTTAAAGGGGCTGTGTGTAGTTTACAGTGGCCCCTAGCGATGAGGTTTTAAATTGCAACCACTGCATTTCAAGCGTGTGCTCCTGCGCGTGCTTGAACTCATGAGGGAGCACTCAACTTTACAGTAATAGTTTTATTAGCATGACATTGAACCACCTTATCCATAATAACGTAGCTGGCTGCCCCTGCCTTGCATCACTATAGGCTAGTATAAACAAATCGTTACATCATTTTTTGCAGGCTAAAATCGACACAATACTGGTACACAGGATAGTAATATGCTATGAAGCAACACTGCATTGTGGCCAAGCAGAATTTACCCTTGGGGACAATAAAGTTAACCTAAACTAACCTAATGTGGATCACGTTAGCTGGTGAAGTAATGTGGAAAGACATACAACTATAGTATTTTGCAATAGATAACATGTTAGATGTCACCCGACATCGATCTGATTCTCGTTTGGCCTTATGGGATTCAACACTTAAAACTTTTTCCTTTTTGTCCTCACTGGAAGATTGTGTTGCAGTCGGTGTTATGCTGGGAGCTTGTTGTTTTATGGTGTTAGCGGACTCCATTTTGTTTGCTGTGGTGTTGTTGCTGTGTGTACAGTTCACATTCATCAGGCGAGAGGGGCATGCACATGCAGGATATTCATAGTTTTCACTTGACGTCACATTCCAAAGAAAACGCTCCCTTGGAGGGCAAAAAAGACGTTACTTTCCGCTGCCTGCCAACCAGGACCAAGTGATACACTGTTACTTTGAGTTTGTTACTTTTGCGTTGCCAAAAGGCTGGATGGTTGTTGTGCTTTTGGATCCACTAATCGATGAGGAGACAAGCCTGGGCTGTGGTTTTTAACAGCGGGAAAATGGCAGTGGGTGCTGTTTATGGATCGAAAGTACCAACACTTGCAGTTTGTGTCCATATCTACTGTATCTTTTTCTTGAGTTGAAAGGTGATTCAAATAAAATTTAACAGCTTTTGCGGCGTCTCTACGAGGGAGTCCGGTGTGAGCAGCTATCTTGGTCTGTTGTTTTGCCCTCCAGGTCAACACACATGTCACGTGACTGAAAACTATGAATAGGACGTAAAATAGTGGCAGTTCCAAGCAACAGAGAAAGCAGGCATGTTGTTCATTTTTGTGTGAGGTTACAGTCCGTTTACAAATAGACAATAAAAAAGTGATTAACTGATAAGTGATTTCATTGTAAAACTACATAAAGCCCCTTAAAAGTACTGAGAGAGTTAAGACTTGGTTTTAGGGTTAGTGATTTCAAACTTAGTGATGGTTAAGGTTAGGATCAGGGGAATTCATTATCTCAATGACAGCTCCCCATGAATATAGTGACACAAGGCTATAGTGTGTGTGCACTGACATTTTTACCACAGCTGGAAGGCAAAATTTGCAGTCAGATTTTGTGTTGGCGTGTGTGTGTGTGTGTATGAGGCAGCTTCCTGACATTTTTATTACAGCTAGATGATTGAATTAGCAAAGGCCACGGTTGGGTGCGTCTGTGTGTGTGTGTGTGTGTGTGTGTGTGTATTTGATGGTAGATATTGTTGTGTGTGTGTGTCGGGATGTAGGGGTGGTGGAGTCACTGCTCTGACCTTTTTTAATGACGGAAGGGGTGAATCAGCAGTTTGTGTGACTGCTATTATACTTCTCACTTTGTGAGGTGTTTTTTTGAAAAGTGATGCTATTTGGATAAGTGAGGCATTATTTGAAAATAAGGGCATTTTGAAAGGAGAAGACATTTTTGGAAAATTAGAACAATTTTAGAAAAGTGTCTGGAAAGCAACGCAGAGTAGTACTTACACAGTTTAGTGTAGCAGAAGTTTTGTAATTTCTTACTTCTTACCTGATAATCATCTTGCAATCCCTCAGATTCATCTTGCCCTCCCCAGTGGCTTGTTGTCTGGGCTAGACCAGAAACCACTGGTCTAGAATGCATTAAAAGAGGGTCCTCACAAGTATGATCTTCAGTACGTGTGTGCGTTAATGTCAGCTTCATGGCGGTAGTTATAGGTATGTCAATTTAGCCGTCCCTCAGCTGCACTCCGCCACCTGTCACTACAAATGGTCCTTGATTAAGTAAATGACAGCAGGCAGGTATTGATATCCCCAGTCACACACACACACACACACACACACACTCTTCCCAGGCTTGCGTTTATTATCTTTCAATTGCCTGGGTTCATTTGGCTCAATGGTCACACGTGGTCTGCAGCTCAAAAGACGGTTTGTGGCCTTAACGTTGCTGGTGTTTAGGTGAACTTGTTCCCACTGGAGCTGCCGTGTTATTAAATAATTTATGAGCTCATATAACACCCTTCGGATGAACACATCCTTCAAATGGCACCTGTCAAACTTGGCCTTAACAGCATCTGTGTGATGACAGGCTGCTCTCTCTGTATTCCCTCTTGCACCTCCAACATAATGCTGTAACTAGTAATATTGGAGTAGTTTGTCTGATTTAGCCTGTCATCACATCTTGAAGGGGGATAAATCAATAAAGTAATAACCGGCAGTGCTTGTTTTTTGCCCCTATAACATTCAGCCTGTATCCAGTTCATGAGAACTTTTCCATTTCCTTGTTTTAACGACTCGTTCTTATCAAAAGGTTGTCTAAACGTTTGTCTGTGTGAAGTAGTTCAAAGGGGAAACTGTTGCACAATGAAGTCTCTATGTTATCCGGTGTATCCATGACAGTTTCTGCAGCCAGATGTTGCTGCTGATTTATTTTGTTGTAATTTTTGGAGCACCACAAATTACACTGTATTCACCACTGTTGCATTGCAGCAATCTGAGACACAAATATCTTAAAACCTGGGTCAAAAGAAACTATTAGTAATTGAGAATTGAGATGTGAATGTGTGATATTTTCGATGAACAGGTCGAGGTCCAACAAGTTTTAAAGGGAATTAAAACAACTTAAGTAGTTAAATCCTCTTTCTTGAGACTGTCCATTAAATTATTCTCGAAAGTATATCCACCATCTTCAAAAATCTATTTTTATTAACTTTTTTGGGATTGCAGATAGTGACGGCTGCACCACAGAAGTTCAAGATCGATATTCTGCCAGTTGACGATGGCACTCCGCGTATCGTCAGCAACCTGGGACTGCAGTGGCTGGAGTACATGGAAAACAAGGTACAAGATCATCTCTTCATATATGTCTCCCCAAACATACAATACATACAGTTTTTGCTCAGTTTCATGGTGATGTTTAATAGCTGTAAAGGGAGTAATGATGGACCCAGTGATGCAGATCTTATTTTCTAATTAATTTACCTTTTAAATTGCCACAGTTAAGTTGCATTGCACTGAACCTTTAAATACTTCCTTCCTGCTCATTGGTCTCAATTAGAGGACTGTGGTTTCGCTGGACATTTTACAGATAAAAAGGTTTGAATGAGCAGGAGGTTGTTGCAGAGTGGTCTGCATGCTTAGAAATTTGTCCTTAAGTAAATGTAAATTTTAAGAATGACTTGATTGTGTATAAACAGCTCTGTTTCTTCTCTGGCTGGCTGTATCACAGTAACTTATTAAACATGTTGTTGTGATCGACATAAGTGCAAAGAGAAGCTCTAGCACTGTGCGCTCACAATGTGTAATTTACTTGCTCCCCCTGCTGGTTTGAACACCTCAACACAATGCGACCACTAGTTTCTATGGCAGTCATTGTAGAAATGTCACCTTGTTCATTTATCCTGAGTCTGTGCCATGTTTGCACTGCAGGTAATTTAGTCTTGGATGTTTTATCATGATGACCCAAGAGAATGTAAAAGGGATATACTAAGTTAAAAAGATCTGCCATCAAATGCTAATTTAAATTCAAATTTAAATTCAAAACAACTACTAATTTCTTCATTTCCTTCCACTTTGGCAAAAACACTTGGAAAACACTTGCTAACTCATTTGCCGTATAATATATTTGGTTATAGTATATTTGCCACTATAAGGTGGTCATTTACAGTAATTTCTGCTTGTGTCCATCAGGCTACCAACCTGATCACCAAGAAGGAGCTGCTGACTATGGATCCAGACACAGATGATGGACAGTTGGTTTACGAAATCACCACAGAGCCAAAGCACGGCTTCCTGGAGAGTAAGCTGAAACCTGGAAACCCCATCACCACCTTCACACAAGGTACACAAGTTCCATGTCATTTTCTGGCCCTAATGTTTCATTTTTACACCAGGTGCAGCAGGTTGTGTTGTTACATATTTTTAAATCCAAGTTTTTTTTTATACAGATTCACTGGTTGCCCCTCTTCTCCTCGTCACTCTAGTATTTTTTCTTCTAAGACAATTTACTTTAAAGGATTTCTCAATGCCTGCAGAAGGAAAAGTGTATTGTATTTCAAAAGAGAAAAGCAAAAATTCAGTGTGATTTATTTTTTTTTTACTTTCTTATCCTTCAATCATTTTGGAACCCTTCTCCAGGTACATGAGGCTTCACTGCCCTCTCCTGTTCATCCTGAGGTGATTCTTAGTATTATGGGTACCACACCAGGAGGAAGTTTTGAATTGGAACTCCACTACATTTTTCTTCACAGTGAGAAGGAGTGTTGAGAGGTCAAGGAAGCGCTAGGAAAGGAAAAAAACTTGGCCCCACATGCCAACCTGCCCAGACTCACTCTTTCCTTCACTGAAAGTTTTCTTCAAAGGCACATCAGCAGCCGTGGGAGTGTTTTTCTTCGAATTAGCAGTGTTCTCATCACGAGCCTGCTTATCTTCACCTCTGGGCTGCAGCCAGGGATCAGTGCCAGGGTGCTTTTGTGAAATGTTGATCCTCTAGGCTGGAGAGCAACTCGAAACACGTCACTTTGACTTTTGGATTTTAGATTTGAAACATGTAAACATAATTTCCTTAATGACAACAAATATCCTATTACTACAATAAACACTTACCCTGAGAGAGGAAAAATGTGAAAATAGATGGTTAGATTTACTAGTACAAACTGTCAGCATCATTCCAGCTGTCAGCATTTACTCTCACATTCTGCCATATGCGCTCAACAACATATTTCTGTTCTGGATATTAGTGCTTAAATTTTCTTATCCTTTGTGGTCCCATTTGGTTATATTTTCTGTTCATCACTACAAGTGTTTATTCTGAGCTTCCTGAAGGTCATTTGAACATCTCTCTAGCTCAGGGACTCTCATCCATTTAATGGCTTGCAGCCCCCAATTACAAAGTACTTTTGTACCTTTTCTCCAACCTCCTCTTGAAGTTATAAATGAGCAGAAATTGTGAACCAATGATGACTTTCATCTTCATTTTCAAGTTTTTTATATGTCTCTCAAGTGATGAGAAAAGGGCTGGAGGCTGCAAATTATGGAATCATTATTTCACAGAAAACTCATTCTTCACAGTGATTTGTATAATTAAAATTCGATCCCTGTAGGGACATTATGTTTTTGGTTGTCCCCTTACGCACAGTAAGGTACATGCTGGGTAAAGATCAGTGCAAATTGTCTTGTAGGACAATTGTTTAATTCTGGTTCCCTCTGCTAAATGCCTACTGCAATGTTCTGTGACATTCTTTTGACTTTCCATGTTCTTGTGTGTAATGTGTGATGCATATGATAGACTTTCATTCCCTTTGTGACCTCAATCATCTGTAAAAGAAGAGAAACAATAACTAAATCAGTGAAATATAATATAAATATAGAATGTTTGTTCATTATTAATCTGTTCCTTTCTAGCTGATGTAAACTTGGGTCTGATCCGCTACGTGCTGCATCAGAAGAACGTTCAGGAAACCATGGACAACTTCAAGTTCCTGGTCAAAGACAGCAAACCAAACGTGGTCAGCGACAACGTCTTCCACATCCAGTGGTCACTCATCAGCTTTGAGCACAAAAGGTCCGTAATATGTGTGAAGCTTTTACCAAAACCAACTGTTCGCCATACATGTACCTTTCCAGCATCCTTAAGTAAGATAACCTGATGGTTCCACAGCTACAATGTGAGTGAGAAGGCCGGCACGGTGGCTGTGACGGTGAAACGAACAGGTAACCTCAACCAGTACGCCATCGTTCTCTGCCGCACCGAGCAGGGCAGCGGCACCTCCACCAGCAGCGTCGGATCTCGTCCGGGCCAGCAGGACTATGTGGAATATGCTGGACAGGTAACTGTGCTTTACCAATGTAATTTATTTTATCGTTTTGTTTTCATTGTGTTTAGGAAATTTTAAAAACAAAACAACAAAATGTCAAAGCTTCAGCTGCCTCTTCTTCCTTTGGCTCATCATCCATAACTGTTGGTTGAACGAACCTTGACATCCAGTACGCACGTATTGACCAGTACCACAATGTGTCCTGTTAATTCACAGGTACAGTTTGATGAGCGTGAGGACACCAAAGTGTGCACCATAGTGATTAACGATGACAAGGTGTTTGAGGGAACTGAAAGCTTCCACGTGGAGCTGAGCATGCCTGTGTATGCGCTGCTGGGCGGAAACACGCGTGCCATCGTCAACATCAACGACACAGAGGACGAACCAACTCTGCAGTTTGATAAAAAGACCTACCACGTCAACGAGAGCACTGGCTTCATCCACGTACCCATCGAGAGAAAAGGTGAAGAACTGCAGCCCTGTTAACCTTTTTAACTGTCTTCCTATTTAATTTCCCCCTTTTTATTTAACCAAAAGGGACTTTGCCTTTTCGCAGATTCTACATCTGCTTGCTGCGACACTACATTGAGGCCATATGATGCTTTCACTGAGTGATGTATTCATATTTGAGGCATTTGAAGATAAAAATGCTACACAGTTTGTGCAATTTTCTTTACTGATATACTTGTATGTCAGTCAGAGTTAAATAAGGCATGGAGCACAAAACATACCAACCAAAGTTAAACTAAATCCAAGCAAACATGTCTATAATTTGGCACAGAGGGCAGTGACTAAAACCCCCAAACAAAACAAAGATAAGCTATACCATCATGTTTAAGTATGAACTCTGACGATGTCATGGCCAACATTCCCTCTCTTGCCTCATTTCCACTCAGGTGACACCTCCAGCACCGTGTCTGCTCTCTGCTACACCGTGGGCAAGTCAGCTCAGGGCAGCAGCCTCCACGCTCTGGAGTCCGGCTCCGACTACAAGAGCCGCGGCATGACCAATGACAACCGCGTCATCTTTGGCCCCGGCATCAGCATGTCCACCTGTGACGTTAAGCTCATCGACGACAGCGAGTATGAGCTGTCTGAGGAGTTTGAGCTGGTGCTTTCAGACGCCTCGGATAATGCCCGTATGGGGGACGTGACGCTGGCCAAGGTCGTCATCGATGGACCCAACGATGCTTCGACGGTTTCTCTTGGGAACGCCACCTTTACTTTCAGTGAAGATGCTGGTATAAGCTGTTTTCTAACATCCACCTGTACACCAAGTAGTTCTTTTTTCCTTCTGCATTTTCCTAGAAGTTTGCAGTGTTTCTCTATCGCCAAGAGAAATTCTTATTAAATTATGGCACACTCTCTTTTCAGATGTCACAGCTTAGCTTTACTATTTAAGAGACATGTGTAAATTTAATGATGTCCATGGGGAAATTAGGAAGGTGCCAAAAAGAGAAATTTCATAACAGCTATATCCAAGGATGTAGCATTAGTTTCTTGCCAGTAGTGCAATGTCTGTGGACCCCCTACCCTTTCCAAAGTTATTTACAAAACACTATACATGAAACAGAATGTAAGCATACTACCTGAACATTTACGTAGACTATTATATTGTTTTTACAGTTAGTCGTTACATGGCAGTCTGTCACATTTTAGCCTTTTAATTTCTTTTGGAACAGAGAACACATTTTAAAGTGGGAAACACAGGATTGATAGATGCCTTTTGTAATAATTTTATTGTCTTAAAAGCAATGTCATACATTACTCGGTAGAAAGATTTATGTTAACAGAGTCCTGCTATAAATACACCTCCCACTCCATCTCTCTGTCAAGCCTCTTCTGCTCTCAATCAATCACTGAGTCTCTCTCTTTTCTTTTGGTGGTACTCTGCTATAGCTTTAATCTTGGATAAAGGAATCAACCATGCAGCATTGAACAGTCTTCATAATTACGCTCAGCAAAATTAGCTGCAAAATTCAGTTTCTCTGTTAATGTATTCTGCTACTATTAGTTCATGACTTAAATTACTTTAGAATTGCAGACCAAAGCAGACTTTGGTTACCTAACACTGTGGCTGTCATTTCTGTATCATTTCTATGCCCTAATAAAATGCCCCAATAAAATTCTGCTACTTTACATATTTTTTAAACCTGCATTTCATTCAGGCACAATTGAAATACCAGTGCTGCGCCATGGCAGTGACCTGTCCTCTGTGACTTCTGTATGGTGTGCCACCCGACCTTCAGATCCCCCCTCAGCCAGCCCGGGGGTCGACTACATCCCCAGCTCCAAGAAGGTGGAGTTCAAACCTGGAAAAACTGAGGAGGTAAGGACAGAGACATCTCACCTACAACAAAAACATATTAAACTAAAGACAAGGTATCCTACTTCTGTTCCCTTAAGACAACAGACCTGGTCTAGGACACCTTTAAAATCCTTGTAAACGCTCTTGCTTCCTTTTTACAGACCTGCAGTTTGACCATAATGGACGACATCCAGAACCCGTCCATCGAAGGATCTGAGTCTTTTGTGGTATTCCTCAGTTCCCCGCAAGGTGCTGTCCTCCAAGAGCCCTATGAAGCCAACGTTGTCATCACTGACACCTTCCAGGACAGTATGTACACACAATAATGACTTTAATAAAACATTCACTTAAAATCAAATATGCATTTAAAAAAAAATTATTTCAGGCTTCTGACATCACATATGCCTTATGAATGATTGATATCTCAATTACATTTACCAGTACTAAGAATTTAGAGTCAGCTTTCTCACAGCCATCATCTCTCCTCTCAGTTCCCAGCATGCAGTTTGAGAAGAGTGCCTACATTGTGAAGGAGAAAGACAGTGTCCTGCACATCCCCATCATCCGTACAGGTGACCTGTCCTTCAAGTCATCAGTGCGGTGTTTCACTCGGACCATGTCGGCCATGGTGATGGACGACTTTGAGGAGAGGAAGAATGCTGATGAGTCACGCATCACTTTCCTCAAAGGAGAGAAGGTAGAATTTTGTCCAAAATATCTAGATCAAGTCTGTTAGTATCTTTTTTTTTTTTGTCAGTTGCCTGCCCATTCACATGTTTTGTTTTATTGCCCAGGTAAAAAACTGCACCGTTCACATCAATGATGACTCTGTTTTTGAGCCCGAAGAGGAGTTCCAGGTGCATCTTGGGACACCACTTGGTGACCACTGGAGTGGCGCCATGGTGGGCGCTAGTGACATTGTCACTATCACTATCACCAACGATGAAGATGGTAAGCAGGCGCCTCATATGTGATTTACAGCAGATTTGTTTGCTGTTTGCTGGTGTATAGACGTAGTCTCTGAAATAATGTGGCTCCTGAGTTTTGTTCATGAAAGAAAATGTTTGGTAGGATTTGATTTGTCTAAATTTCATGAAAGTCATAGATCATGAGAACAGCCTCAACTAAACTCAGATATTAGTTTTATTTAAATATCAGATATGTTGTTGTTGTACTATAAGTAGAGATGCCAAAAGGTTTTCTGTAATATAACTATTCAGCATTGCTTTTTGAGAAGTGAGAAAAAACATTTTCTGTGATCAATTTGTAAGTGTGATCTAAATAGTTTGGGCAGTTGTTTCTAGTCAAAAGAAAGACATGACAGCAATGTTACACGACTCACTAACACACAATATGTACCTTGTGTTTAGAGTGCATGAAGAGATTGAAACTAAGAAAACATGAATGCTTTTAGTCCTGTTTAGAAAATGGGTTAGTGGTGCACTTCAGCCTCAAAATTTAGGAATTTAGAAAGATTATCCTGGCAGAACCTTAAATTTACCTGTTCTTTGGTCATAAACACAAGAAAGAAAACAATTTAGATCAGATTTTGCACACAAATAAATTTTTCTCTATTGTTTTTACGTTTACGTTAAGTAACAGGGCAGCTCTGTGACCTTTCGTCCTCTACTGTTTCTCCAGCTCCCACCATTGAGTTTGAGCAGGCGTCCTACCAGGTGAGAGAGCCACCTGGTCCAGATGGCATTGAGGTGCTTGACATAAAGGTGATCCGTCGGGGGGATCTGGACCGGACCTCCAAGATCCGCTGCAGCACCCGGGACGGATCGGCCCAGTCTGGAGTGGACTACAATCCCAAGAGCCGAGTGCTTAAATTCACCCCTGGTCAGTGCTTAGAATTACAAGTTATGTACAAGTGTGTTTGTAAATCTAGAGACTAAATATGGCTTAAAATTCTGCCTTTGCTTCACTTTGTAGGGATGGACCATTTCCTGTTCAAGGTGGAGATTCTGTCCAATGAGGACAGGGAGTGGCACGAGTCCTTCTCATTGGTCCTCGGACCTGATGACCCTGTGGAGGCGGTACTCGGGGAGATCACTATGGCCACAGTGACCATTCTGGACCAGGAGGCTTCAGGCAGCCTCATCCTCCCTGCCACGCCTATTGTACGAAATGTTAAATGTAACATGTCTGCTTTGATAATGACACACGCACAGAACAACATAAAGATGAACAGCAGGACAAACTGCTACACAACACGTATTTGGCAGCTTTTTGAAGGACTGCTTGTGACTTCAACAGAGAACGTAAGCTTTTGTCTGTTCCAGCAGTGCTCAGAGTGTAACATGTTTTTAGCGCTTCAAGTGCCTGGAGCTAGAAACCAGAAACGCCTCCACTCCAAACAAAAGCACTCCTCTCCTCTAATACATATTCAGTAACTCCAAAACAGCAGCAGGAAACATGGGCAGCATTTTCCTTCAGGCGTTTGTTTACAGGCTGTTACATTTCTTTTGCATTTAACCAGAACCACTTACATTGAGGACATCAATTCAGCTATGTTCAAATGCCATTTAAATAAAATGTGGTGTGTGATTTGACCCCAAATGCCTTTCAGTTCCTCAACAGGAATCTCATCTGTGTTTGTGCTCTACTCAAATCATCTGGACGGTGTTCAAATAGAAACAATGACAGAAAGATGAAAAGAAAGTAGAATTTCAAGCAAATAAAATGTCATCATTACCCATCCTCCTTCCTCCTCAGGTGGTGTCTCTCGCCGACTATGATCATGTCCAGGAGGTGACAAAGGAAGGCAGTAAGAAGACGCCCTCTCCAGGTTACCCTCTGGTGTGTGTCACCCCCTGTGACCCTCACTACCCCAAGTACTCTGTGATGAAGGAGCGCTGTGAGGAGGCAGGCATCAACCAGACCCAAGTTCACTTCTCCTGGGAAGTGGCGGCACCCACCGACACCAGCGGCGCTCGGTCCCCCTTTGAGACAGTCACAGACACCACGCCGTATACCAGCGTCAACCACATGGTGAGTTGGGATCTCTGAAAAGGAATAGATGGAGCCAAGATGATCACTGCCAAAACATCAATAACAAATGATGTTGGCTTTGGTCTCACTCACCCTGCCTGCACTGCTGTCTCTCTCAGGTCCTGGACAGTATTTATTTCAGCCGTCGCTTCCACGTTCGCTGCGTTGCTCAGGCCAGGGATAAGGCTGGTCACCTTGGAACGCCGCTGAGAAGCAACATCGCCACCATCGGCACAGAGGGCTCCATCTGCCACACGCCGGTTACCACGGGAACCGCCAGAGGCTTCCAGGCTCAGTCCTTCATCGCCACACTCAAATACCTGGACGTCAAGCACAAGGAACACCCCAACCGGTGAGAAAGGACAGATGGATGGTGGCTTTTTAAATTGCATAAACCAAAACTGTTTTTGTTAATTTTCTTTCCTGCCCTGTGTGTCCTTGTTTAGTATCCATATTTCAGTGCAGATCCCCCATCAGGACGGCATGCTCCCCCTGGTGTCCACCATGCCGCTGTACAACCTGCATTTCCTCCTGTCAGAGTCCATCTATAGGCAGCAACACGTCTGCTCCAACCTTGTTACCCTCAAAGACCTACAGGGTCTTTCCGGTCAGTCACACACACTCCCATAAACACACATAAAACAGGGGAGGAAACATGAAACAGGATAAAACTCATGGTGAACTCTGTATTAGGGAGAGTTATCATCTGGTATTTCGACACCAAGCTGAAATACTTCTTATGTAGTTATCTGTTATGTAATATAACTTGTAAAATGGATTAGAATGGTGGTTAAACATTAACCAGATCTTTGTTTAAATCAGAAAATATTGTTTTCTGTGGACTTCTAAGATCTTTTTCTGCTAATACAAACTTTGACAACATTCCTCCACAGAGACAGGTTTCCTGGACGATGTATCCTACGACAGCATCTCTCTGGGGCCGGGTTATGACCGCCCCTATCAGTTCAACCCAAACGTCCGCGAGGCCAAGAGCATCCAGCTCTACAAGCACCTCAACCTCAAGAGCTGCATCTGGACCTTTGATGCTTACTACGACATGACCGAGCTCATCGACGTCTGCGGGGGCTCAGTCACCGCTGATTTCCAGGTACATCAGACCGTCAAGAGCACGTTCTTTCTGTGACCACCGAAAATCTATCAATTAGAACTACTTAACTACGTAGCAGATGCCTCGACTGAGTAGCTTTCCAACCTGATCTGGATCATCACCAAAATGTAATCAATTATTATAAAACTCCCCTCAAGGTCCACTATTAAGTTGTTCTGGGGCTTTTGACCCCAATGTCACACTGTCTTCATCATTACATGTTTGGTCACTTGTCATGGAATTGTTCACACTTTACATTATTCTGAGCACTTTGAAAGTCCATTCTTGGCCATGAAAACAACATGCACCATACCATCCGAGTCTCCAGAACGAGCAAGTGAATAGAGATTTTGTCAAATGATGTTTCCAAGGTGAACTATAAAGCTCAATCAGTTGTTAGTCTCACAGAAGTATACCAGCTTTCTAGAAACAAATTAAAAGTCATAAGATCCTTGGCGGAGACAATAGGAGAAATATGGAGAAAATGTTGCATGACATATACACCACAAGAACTCAAGTACTCAATCACAGCAGGTGCTCAAATCCTTATATGACCTTCTGAGGGTTCCCAGCCCCCAGGTGCAGAACCAATATAAACAAAGCTGCTGTTCTTCCAGGTTCGGGACTCTGCCCAGTCCTTCCTGACGGTGCAGGTACCTCTCTATGTGTCGTACATCTACGTGACGGCACCGAGAGGCTGGGCCTCTCTGGAGCATCACACCGAGATGGAGTTCTCTTTCTTCTACGACACCGTACTCTGGAGGACAGGTCAGGAAACTGACTTTATCGCTTTATGAGCAAATCATAAAATGAAGTCACTGCAAGGCATCCATTATGCATTTCTTCTGGATCCACTACATACACTTTTAAAGTTTAACCTACTCTGTGTATCGCAAAACAAAGAGTCTCTTCCAAATGATTATGAGAACATTTATTGCAGCTTTTGAAAGCAAATCATTTTTATCTTTCCAGGCATTTATTGTGAAAACGGAGCAGAAGAGGTTCAGGATGAAAATCCACAACTTTATACAGTTTACATGCTTTTTTAAAACTTTCTTTTAAGATTAATTTAGGGATGGATTTGGTCCCTGTTTGCAAACATCTGACACATTATGTGAAATGATCAGAATCCATATATGCTGTTTTATTTAACAAAACTAAACCAGTGTTTTAATCCAACCTCGATCTGACCTTTGACACCCTTGGCTGGTGCTTCCTGTCTGCAGGTATCCAGACTGACAGCGTCCTCTCAGCCAGACTGCAGATCATCAGGATCTACATCAGAGAAGACGGACGACTGGTGATTGAGTTCAAAACTCATGCAAAATTCAGAGGTCAGTTCAGTACATCCACCACAACATTTCATATGTTTTGGGTCAGACAGAAGTCCATACCTCCTTGTTTTTTCTTTAGAAGGTGTCTGCTGTCGTATTAATACAACAAATGTACTTAGAAGACTGATAGACAAAGAGAACAGAGGGTTATTTTGGTGTCATATTTCCAAATTTCCTTCCTCCAGGTCAGTTTGTCCTTGAACACCACACTCTGCCGGGCCACAAGTCCCACCTGATGGCGCCCGACCACCTCGGAGGCATCGAGTTTGACATACAGCTGCTGTGGAGCGCTCAAACCTTTGACTCACCATACCAGCTGTGGAGAGCCACCAGCTCCTACAGCAGGTCAGTCGGTTCATCCACAGCCGTAATCAGAAGGGGTGAAGGAAGGCTACCATTCGTTTTTCAATCACACTGACATTTCTCAGTTCAGCTGGATGGGAAATATGAAAGTGGTTCAGTTAGTAGTTTTTAGTAAATGTTGATCATTTGCTCAACAGTGACATTTAAAGTAAAGAACAAACGTAACCAAATTTGATTTAAGATTTAGGAAAACATAAACATCAGGATATTGGGAACTTTCAGACCTTTTTAGAGTAGGATTTCTCCAGGGAGCCTCAGACAGTTCCTTGTGGAACAACTAGAATGTCACTTTATGTGGAAAACCTTAAGTCAATGTTTGACTTCTGATTTCTTTAATCATGCTCCTTTGGATTCAGAAGATCAACCCTTTGATCCTTCATTGTAACTCACTGTGCATTGGTAATAACCTTTCTGTGTTGTCTTAATGTGTATCCTTCAACAGGAAGGACTATTCTGGGGAGTACACAGTCTTCTTGATCCCCTGCACTGTCCAGCCCACTCAGCCCTGGATCGACCCCGGTGACAAACCTCTGTCCTGCACGGCTCACGCTCCAGAGAAGTAAGTCCCTGCTTGAGTCCAAACTCTTGTGGTTTGATGACGACATATTTTAGGGAGCCAGGTCACATGAAACCTGTACTGTCTTGCTGTTCTCCGTCAGGTTTCTGGTGCCGATCGCCTTCCAGCAGACCAACCGGCCTGTTCCTGTGGTTTACTCCCTCAACACGGAGTTCCAGTTGTGTAACAATGAGAAGGTGTTCATGATGGACCCGGCTACCGCTGATGTGTCTATGGCTGAGATGGACTACAAGGGAGCATTCTCCATGGGTATGAAAGGAGAGAAACAGAACTAACCTTCTTGAAACAGCCTTTTAGAAATATTTTCTCTTGTAGGAGTTGCACATGCGCAGTTCATAGATACGGACTTCTAGCTAATCAGAAGCAAAGTAGGGCAAGTCATGAGAAGCCTCTTCGGCGTAGATTAAGCTGTATATGTTCCCCTTACCATCTTAGCAACATAGACTGGAGCAAGAGTTTCAGAGTGGTGATTTATTAATCTGTAACAAATGTATCTTTCATCTATAAAGTTTTAACTGAGCTCTGTCTCTTCATCACAGTGACAATTTTATGTCCATTGACTGCCTGGAGGGTAGCTAGTGTTTGGAAGGGAGAGGAGAGGCAGTAGGCGGTTGTCTTGTCACTGTCTGCTGCAGCTCAGTGTCGGATTAGCCGCAATGGCGAGCATTATGATGCGTGTTTCTCTGTGTCGTCACAGGGATCAAAGGAAAATGGCTGTGCTACAAACGAGCTGTTTTCAAGCAGTTCAGAACAGAGTTTTCTGTGGGAGATGGGAACTCTCTTTGGGGTGGACTTTGGGCTTTTTCACTTTGCAAACCTATTACATGCACAAAAACGCATAATATGACCTCTTTAAATAATTTTAGGAGATTCTCTACTGACCTTTCTTTGAATTTTAACAACACACTGTCCTGCTTTGTTTCTTACATCCATATCCTGGTTATGAATCATATTCTTTCAGCCATATACAAACAAATCCTCTTCATCATAAAACCTGCAAACGACCGGTGTAGGATCTGAATTTATTTCATGTTATCAGTTACTAAGAAGTTCTTACCAAGATAATGTTGTAATCTTGACTTCTTCTAAGTCACAGATCAAGAATTCTTGTGGTTTATGCAGAAGAAACTGAAACATTTTTATGCACTTCTACAAATAAAATAAAAACCTGTCCTGATCTGTCTGCTGCCCCCTGCAGGTCAAACTCTGTATGGCAGAGTATTGTGGAACCCTGAGCAGAACCTGAACGCAGCCTACAAACTGCAGCTGGAGAAGGTTTACCTCTGCACTGGCAGGGACGGATATGTTCCCTTCTTTGACCCCACAGGAACGCTGTACAACGAGGGGCCACAGTACGGCTGCATCCAGCCCAACAAGCACCTGAAGCATCGCTTCCTACTGCTGGTACAAATATATATTTTCTTTACTCTGGTCTGGGGTACATATTTAAAGACCGTTATTCAAAATACTGCCACCCTCAGGTCAAATATCATTACCATAATCAGTATTATTTTATTTTTTAATGTTACCTTTGTTTTACCTGGAAGTCTCATTGAGATCAAAAATCTCTTTTACAAGAGAGACCTGGCAGCCAAGGTAGCAGCCATACATAAACACAACATATTAAAATGCTACAAAAAAATACATAATGTCTCCTTCACCACATTCTTTATGACGCTCTTAAATTTATCAATAGATATACACGTTTCTAATTTAAGATCTTTTTGCAAATTATTCCATGCCCAGGGAGCATAGTATGAAAATGCAGTTTTCCCCAGATCTGTCAAAACCATGGTTACATTAAAAAGCAACCACTTGGAGAAGCGTATCTGGTAACTAGTAGGACTGAGACAGAGAAGGGTATAGAGGTAAGCTGGAAGTTTACCTAGCATGCCTTTATGTATAATAATATGCCAGTGCTGTTGTGTCTGCGGGTGGTCAGTGATGTCCAACCCACCAGATCATAAAGAATGCAATGGTGAATGAGGGACTTTACATTTGTAATAAAGCATAGAGATGCATGATACACTGAATCAAGGCTCCATAAGATGGAGGAGGCTCAGTGCATATATAATATGTCACCATAGTCAATCACAGACAGAAAAGTAGCTTCCACAAGTGTTTTTTTGGCATTGAAATTAAAGCTAGATTTATTTCTAAAATAAAAGCCAATCTTCTTAGCTTCCTAACTAGATTAGGAATATGTATTTAAATAAAAGTTTGTCGTTTATCCATATACCTAAGTACTTGTATGTGGGCACCCTTTCAATGGATTTACCATCAGACGTAAAAATGCAAAGATCAGCAAGCAACTGTAGGAGAGCTTTTGAGAAGACCATTCGTTTTCTGAGGATTTAAAACCAGTTTTAAAATGAGCAGAGCAGTTTGTAATGACTGAAATGCAATCTGAAGCTCTTGCACAGCCTGTGCTATGGAAGGAGCATGTGTATAAATGACAGTGTCATCAGCATAGAAGTGTATTTTTGCTTGAATGTCCTTACCTAAGTCATTTATAAAAATAGAGAACAGAATAGGTCCCAAAATAGACCCCTGTTTTCTGTCTAAGGCACCATAAGATCGTTTATTACCACCATAGCAGCAGTAATAAATAATGATCCAGATTGTTGGGACCTGCAGGTTTTTTGTGGTCAATGACTTTCATAGCTTTACAAATTTGAGCAACTGAAATAGTTTTAAAATCAAACAAATCCAGTTTTCTATCATTTGCAGCTCGGCAGAATATGGGACAGGTGCATTTACATTTGCTGTCAACTGCAGACCCAGCACAGATAGTGTTTGTTTAACTGACTGAACATTGCAGCTTTATCCTTTATTTCATCTGAGCCAACCAGAATATGTTCAGGGAGGCTTGAAGCAATATGTGTACCTGACATGGTTTTAATTACTTTCCAGAATATTGCGGGGTTATTTGGATTCTCTGTAACTGTCTTCAGATAAAACTCTGATTTGGAATTTCTTATCATCAAGGTGCACTTGTTCCTTAGGGTTCTAAACGTAGTCCAATCAGCAGAGGTGAGCCACATAAGGGTAATCAGAGAAAACATACCTCAAAGCCCGTTGGGGACAGTTGCACAACGTTTCAAGGAAACATGTCGTTCAACCTGCAAACCGCAGACAGCGGTGCCAAATGTTTTCAGACTGAACACGCTTCTGCTGTTGTTTCACAATAAAATACTTTCTTTGCTAGAAGCCTTTTAATGTGAAATGGATACAGTAGATGTTGAGTCATTAAGAGTACTAGTGCAGTGCCTGTTCACAGGGGCTGAAGTGACACCTCCCTATGCTTTTTAAACTGTGCAGTGCTTGTTCAAAATGTGTCGTTTCACCTACAGCATTAATGACAGTTCAAAGCCTGTGGGTTATTTAAATTACTGACGTTGTTGTCGTTGACAAACCATCGTAATCTGCAGCAGAAATTCTCCACTCGGTCAGAAGCTGTGGAATTATACCTTTCATCTACACTATTTTTTAGACAGCGTTGAAGACAATTCTTTCTTGAATGTCACCATATAGAGCCATTGGTTGAGTTCATTATTTACATTTTTTGTAACTTCCAACAGGTAGATAAGGAACAAACCTGACTTTTTCAAAAGAAAACTTTGTGCCATAGGAACATACATTGACTTTAAAGTGCTCTGATTATTTTCTCTCTTCATGTTTCCTCTGCAGGATCGTAAACAGCCAGACGTTTGTGACAAATTTTTCCATGATGTTCCCTTCGAGGCTCACTTAGCGTCAGATATCCCAGAGCTGCAGTCCATGACAGCCATGCCGGGCGTCGACGGCTTTACAATGAAGGTTGATGCTCTCTACAAGGTGTGTGGAAACACCTGCGCTACATCATGTGTTGTGTTGAACTTCTTCCCCCATTGAGTGATTTGATGGACGTTTACTTCCTGAATTCAGGTTCCCATAGATATATTTTAGGGATTATTATTTTCATGGGGAACAAGACTAGGAGCTTTTATGTTTTAATTGTGTAAAGTCAACTTTACATGAGCATACAGACCTGGATATTGTGGACTTATTTTTGAGAAATGTTGATGTTTATCTGTTTAGCCAACTTCCCACAAGCTTAAATGAGCTTCCACCAATCAGAGACTGTTACCATGAACATGTTACCTAATTTAAAGTGAATAGTGGGCAGTTGCATTGTGGGTAATGTAGGCAACAACTTTTCTCCAATTGTCTGCATTGAATTAGAGTTTTTTGAATCTTATGATGTTATAGGAGTGCGATGATATTTCACTGGACTCTCTTTAAGCATCTTACGTTGTTCGCTGATTTAACAGGCAGTTGGATGTCAAAGCATAAAGTCTTTACATTGTGACTTTTCAAAAGTGGCACTTATGGTAAAATGTTGGTGAATCCAGGCTGCTGAAATAAAAGACAGATTTGTTCAGTGCAGTAGCTAACCCCCTCCTTCTTTCTCTCTATTGATTGACAGGTGGAGGCGGGGCACCAGTGGTACCTGCAGGTGATTTATGTGATCAGCCCGGAGTCGCGGTCCAGCCCCAGGATTCAGCGCTCGTTGACCTATGAGCTGAGCCGCTCCAAGCGCGACCTGGTTGATCGCAGCGGGCGTCTGACGCTGGACGAGTCGCTGATCTACGACAATGAGGGCGACCAGGTGAAGAACGGCACCAACATGAAGTCGCTCTACCTGGAGGCCGGGCCCACAGCAACCTTCAACGCCCACATGGGCAGCACGGTGGGCGGGGGAGTGGCAGCCGTCACCCTGCTGGTCCTGGTCCTGCTGGCCTCCTGCTTCCTGTTCCGCCGCTGCCGACAGTCGGGCAAGAAGAAGAGCAAGAAAGCTCAGAAAGTGTACGAGGAGTATCCGCTCAACACCAAGGTGGAAGTGTGCATGGACAAGTGTGTGGAGAAGAACTTCAGCAGCAAACACTGCACAGTGAGGAACATCAACATCCTCAACCGCAACCAGGAGCCCAACGGCAAGGCCAAGGTCAAACAGGTCAACCTGGAGGTCAAACTCCACAACAACCTCAACGATGGCACTGAGGTCTGAAACACTGACGAGGAAGGAAAGGAGAGGAGGAGGAAGAGGAGGAGGAGGAAGTAAAATAAAAAAAGGTATTTTCTAAAAGAAAGTTTGTACTTAAGGAACGAGATGTTTGTTAATGTATTTTTATACCACTTTGAAAAAGGGAAGAGTGTGACGTGCAGACAGATACGCAGCGTTGTAATCATTTCGCAACTGGGCTACCTCAGGAATCCATAAACCACTCAGCTGCGTGAAACAGCCAAAACATCTGCGTCTGATCATCCAAACTCTATCTGAAGCTGTGGCTAATTTCATCACTGTCTTACTTGACATTTACATCCTTTTTAGCACCAAAATGGTGACTGGTAGCTCAGACACTGGTGATTATTCTGACAAAAAAAACACTACTTTGCTGCATTGAGTCATTTCACTGCTACTAAATATTACAACTGTAGAGTTGCAGCCAGTGTCGAAGTCCTCCTTTTCAGCATTTATCATCCACTGTTTCTGCTGAAAAATGAACTCTGCAAACTCTGATTAAACAGAACAAAGTCTCATTTTCCCGTGGAGTGGCTTCTACATCGGCTACAGCTGCTTCTGACTGCTGTGAAAGTATTAAGCACGTACATTGTGCTGCTATTGTCCGAGGCTGAATGAGTGCAGAGTGTAAATAATAACAAAAATGAATGATACCTATTCAAGTGCAATTATGCCATACCCTTTGTTAATCCTTCCCTCATAAGCAGGAACTTTATTTGCATTTTTAAAAAACGTATTTCAGCCTTACTTAGAGACATTTGTACTCTCACGTTGAACAAAGAGATAATTCTTCTTGTTTCAACACAAATTCTTATTTTCTTGTTTGTACTGTACTCTGATAGCTGCCAATATTAAGTGCCATGCAGTATTTTTCCTCATGAATTTCAAAACGAATCATCCAAAGTGTTTTCTTTTTCTTTTCCAAGAGTGAGAAAGTGGACATTTCCATGTGATTGTTAAGACAACAAAGGTTTCAGATCCCGTCCACATGACTGAGCGCTTTAGCCTTACTACTGTTCTACTGAAAGAATCATTTTTTAAAATGATGTATTTTATAAGAGATGTGTGTCTACCTGCCTTCGTTCTGCCCAAAGACACAAATCCCCTCACTTTTTAGTTACTCACATCTCACTAAAATGTTTTTTTTCTCATGTATGTATTATTTTGTTACCCTCTTATGATGTATTATGTTACGCTCAGCTACTGATGTACCCATGATGTAAAAGTAAGTGTAATTTTTTAAGTGTATGACACTGGTTGGAGAGCACTGCAAAAGAAAAAACTTGTGTGAGATGTGGACGTGTTTCTCTCCACTCCCCTCTCTGATCCCACCTCCTGTTTTCTTTTAACTGTGTGCCTATCAAAATAAACACGGGAACAGGAAATGATGGGAAATGACAATATATTTTTGGTGCTATCATCTTGTGGAAAATAACAATGCTATCAACATGATGCCTGTATTTGGTGCCTTTTTTAGTAATAAAAAAATGTTGAAACCCATGATTGTCTGTATAAAATATCCATTATATTTGATTCTTTTCACAAAAAAGTACAAATGAAAAATGAAATCTTACATCAGTGAAGATGACAGTAAACTAATGTGAATGTTTTTTTCTGCAAGATTTAGTAGAAATATTTTAATATATTGTACCCATAATGTAAATGCAAAATGTGGGGGTTTTGGGGGCATTTGTTCAACAATATGTTGATGTTTACAGACAGTGAAGTAACAAAAAGTGATATCACCAACATGTTTTCCGGGAAGCTATCTAAATGTTGGCTTGTAAAGTTCTACTGTTGTACTGTACAGTAAAATGTGAACACTTCATTTTAACAAACACAAATAAATTATAATTATCACTGAACAGCTATAGCGCCAATGATGTTGTAATCACGCACCAATTGGTGAATTCTAAAGGTAGATTGCCCAAACACATCCCTACCCAGTGCAAAAGCAAATAGCCATTTAGCTTCGAATATGGTAGAGAAAACCACAGCGTAATGTCAAGGCTATTCATAAATGGAAAAAAACAATTCAATGTAAAACTTCCCAGAGAACTGAGAATGTCTTGAGTTGAAGCTACCCTGTGCTAAACCTCAGCTCTTTATGTTTATCATAAAGAGTACAGTCTAGATCTGATCTAAATGAAAAGTACCTGAGACAACTTCTGTTATGATTTGGCACAATATAAATAAATTGACTTGATTTTGACTAAACTAAAACTCCAGTCTGTATCCTCCCAACAACCCAGCTGACTAAACTCACCTGCTGCATTTCCGGGCAGTGTGGTGGGAAGACACTGTTACTGTCCTCCTGTCAGATCTGTCGGGCGATCACAGGGACTGTGTGATGTGCATTAGCTGAAGAGAGGACTAACACTTGAGGTCTGCCAGAGGCCAAGAAGAAATCTGCTCCCTCTCCCTCACCGCAGGCCCTCTGTCGTTCTCTGATGCTTTACTTTCATCTTCAAACTACTAAACTGGTAACTTGTTTACAGTCTTAGAGCAAGCTTTGATAGACAGACGTGATTTGAAATCATGAAGGTTCAAAGTCTTGAGAGAGATTAAGACCATTAAAGATTGATTTCAAACATGAGCACAGCCAGAGCAACAGACAGCCAAGTTAAAAATTAACACTACTGTACAGATGTAGTGCAGCAAGTACACAGTAAAAAATGACTTCTATATTATAAAAAATTAAGTTTATCCTTGCTGAAAATCTTCAGAATAGAAGACACACTTTTTTTAAATCACTGACTGCAACTGTTTAAAATTGCATTCAAAAAATTATGATTCAGTTTGAATTAATGATTTGTCAATGAATAAAAAATAATTGATGTAAATGATGAAAATGGATTTGAGTGTTTTTGATGACTTTGTGATCAGATAACTTGTTAGGCATTTGTCATTTATTAACTGAATGGTTCAATCCAACTGATTATTAGTTTTTTTTAAATCATTAAATGATGACATGAACTGTTTCTTAGGCAGATTCTGACTCAACATATAAACATAAAATAAGCAGTTTTGTCATAATTGTGTTTACTCACATAACAAATACTCTACATGTATCAAATAGTTTTCAAAGTTGTTCACAAAGTTTTAATAATTTACTAACAATTTCCTCTGTTTTCTAAAACAATGCAATATAATTACGTCCTAGTTACAGTAATTTGAAGTATATAATTCCAGTTACTTGCTAGCATAATGCAGCCAATGCACAGCAGGTCAGCTAAACCTTCAAAAATATGGAAGTTCTATAGGAACGCATACAATTCCACAAATCAAGTGGCACAACTAAATAAATAATTCATGAATAATATGGAGGGATTTAATTGCGCTTAGAGCTTAAATTGAGGGAATTTACATACACATCCTGCATAGTTCTTTACTGGAAACCCTCTGGGAAATAATATATATATTTGGAAATTACAAAACAAGGCTACACCGAAACAAAAAAAAACAGTCGCAGATGTTAACATGGTTAGAATATATCTTAAGATTTAAGATTGTACATAGAATACATGAAGTCAGAGGAATGCAGTCACCTTATTACACACTTAGGTTCCTCAAATGTTTATTTTAGTTTTTGCTTAATACTGTTTTGACCAACAATAGTGCATCGATTGTTGACAAAAGATTGAGATTTACCTCTCCTCCACTATGGTGATGTGGTGTGCAGCATAGTGCAGACTATTGAACTTCCTTGTAGTCCTGTCAGTAACCAGATAAATTATTATATTTGATCTTGTGTCACTGTTGTCCTTCAGCTTCTTCAGCTGGTGATTTTGTTTATTTTGTTAAACAATTTTCTTTACATAGTAACAGTATGGTAATACTTTAAAGTCACCAGCAGGGGGCAACCCTGACTCAGCTGCAGGGGTTTCAAGCTTTTCAAGTGTCTCTCAGGGGGCTTTGAGAGGCTTGCAGAGGCCATATTTGGGGAAACTCTGAACTGCAAAGATAAGTAGAAGTGTTTTACTGCACTTGATGATTATAGGAGATGCACATTGTTGTCCTTCATACAGAAACTTCCCCTGATTATGTTATTATGTATCCTTCGAATTAGTCTCATCGAAATCAGGAGGTCTTTTAAGAGAGATCTGTGTCATAAAAACATATGAAACAATCAAAATTTATAGACATATTAAATACATTCTTGTATTTCAGGAACTTCTGTATTTAATGATTTTACAAATAATATACTAGACAGTTTTTATGTTTATTTATTAAAATGTGCATTTATTCATTTCTCATTTATATCAACCGATTGTATCGTACATGCTCATGTTTATACATATCTATCCTGTATTGTGTTTACGTTTACTCATAAAATGTGTGAACTGTACATCCTCACACTTTTATGTATTTATTATTGAGCTGATTTCCATGTGTGTACGGAACTTCTTGTTTCTGAATTTTTTATTGATACATTACAATTTTCCTTTTCCCAGCTTTCCTCCGAGTGATCAAATACCTTCAGTGTAGGAATGTAAAAATTGCTAAATTATTTGATGAAGACAGAGGACAGGGGGTTGTTGCTACTTTTTGTTTTAGCCATTTAATAGTGAAGATGTTACATTGCCAGTGTGTTGTAATAACTGTTAAAATATAATTAAATATACTTTCAAAAATAGCTGCTTATCCAAATTGCTCTATAATGCAGTAAACAGTACTGTTGTATCCATCAATTTATAAGGCAAGTCAAATCTAATTGTTAATCATGTATTATTTATAATTTGATAAAATGATTTTGTGACACAAAGTTTACAAACTGTAATAAGTTAGTAATACATTACAATGTCATCATAGGTTGACAATCTAATCATTACACTATTTTTTGATTTGTCACCCATATTACTTTTTGTTTCACTTTTATTTTTCAGCCATTATTATTAGAATCCACAAATCACAAACTGTCTGACTCTGGCAAATTAGAAGAATAAATATTAAAGTACATAGTTAATAAAAGTTATTAAGTAAAGATCAGAGTAGTAGTTTCCTGATAGTAATGCAGCTCAGTGATCTATAAATAAAAAAAGGAATGTCTTGTCTCATACAAATGCTTTTATTTTCAGCAAACTTAACATGTGGTAATATTTGTATGAACACAAAAAGATTAAGCAACTAAGAGAAAAACTGAACAAAGACAGGTGAGTAACAGAGATGGAAAAATGTTTCCCTGAACAACGGGGGAGTCAAAATCAAAAGTAATAATCAGTATCTGGTGTGGCCCTGTACAGGTGTTGTCCCATGTGGTCTGCCACTGTGAGGATCAGCTGTCTTTCCTGTCTCCCTGTAGTGCTTTCTTAGGTGTCTCACAGTACAGACATTGCAATTTATTGAAACAATTTATTGCTTATTAACATTGGTTTTTCAGAGTCAGTAGAAAGGTTTCTTTAGTGTTCTTAGTTTTTATAACTGTGACCTTAATTGCCTAGCGTCTGTACGCTGTTAGTGTCGTAACGACCATTCCACAGGTGCATGTCTATTGATTGTTTATAGTTCATTGAACAAGCATGGAAAAACATTGTTTACACCCTTTACAATAAAGATCTGTAAAGTTATTTGGATTTTTACAGAATTATCTTTAAATAACAGCGTCCTGAAAAAGGGGCGTTACTTTTTTTGTTGAGTTTATAATAAGAATAAAATACTGAAAGTTGATGACCTCATAGTTGTTATTGTTCATTTACTCATTTCATCTGAACGGTAGAACAGACTTTGGA